AGTGTTTCATACTTATTAAACTCTATTCGCTTTGCCTATTTAAGTAGCACAGCTTCTGCTACTGTACTTTACTTTTTTCCTCTTATTCCCTACGTATACTTCATAGGGACAGTTCTCTAGCAAATTAAGACTCAGTTGTCTATTCAAGTCTAGTCTCAGTCTGAAGCCCAGCTTCAATCAGTATACGCCCCTCACAACCGCTATCAGATATAGCGGCTCAGTTTGCACTCTAGTATCAGTGTAGGACATAGCATGTATAAGTACTAGTAACAGTTAAACTGTTGAACTCCTGATCCTCAGTCGTTAGGTCCCTTAACAGTCCCAAGCAAGGGATCTCCTTTGCTTCAATAAGATCCATGCTTACAACAAGAACAAGAGAACCAACCAGTGGTTTAACGGATCCTCCTACCAGTATTGTGCTGATTTATTGTGCCCAAATAGGAAAAGAGATAAGACTATCCCTAACGCAACACTGATTCTAGTACCTATCGGAAGCAAAGACGATCATCATTCAGTAGTACCCCCACTAGCAGAGAAGTCCTCTCCTACACCATCATATCTCACCCCCACTGCAGCATCATCCCACCAATCCCAGTAGAGGAACAACCTCCCACCCCTGCTTGAATAGAACCCAAGCTAGAACCACCCAGATCTCCAGTCAATCTTGACCCAGAAGAAGAACCAGCCAACAGACATCTGAACAATCCAGAAGATAGTGATCCAGAACCCAGCAATCAAGAAGAAGAAGGAGACATGTCTGACAACAATAGCAGAGCAGTAAACAAACCTCACCAGTTTGAAGGAGACAAAGGAAAGAGCAAGGAATTTCTGGACGAGTTATACCTGTACTTTGCCAGAAATCCCAAGAAGATCCAGAACAACAAAGATAAGGTTTAATGTGCTCTTTCATATATCAAAGGACCTGCCCAATTCTTTGTCCACACCATCATCACTGATGTGGAAGAACCCATATCTGATTCTGATGATGTGCCCCCCAAAGGATTGCCTAGTTGGGCTAACTTCAGGAAGTCCTTCATCCAGACCTTTGGAGTAGAGGACAATACTCAAGCAGCATTAAATGAGATCAGCAAATGTACTTGGGTGAAATGTGGAGGAAATGGTCTTTGATTTGGTACAACCCTTCAACCTCTCTTACAGGCTAGTGGATTAAACAAACTAGGGCAAATCCAAGAGCTTGTCAAGGTATCGCCCTTGACTCTAACCCTAAACTCTAACCCCAGACTCACTTGTGTGGTATGGTAGTTGCAAGAGGTAAGCGAGGTGCTTGTCTTGAGAGTGGTTAACTCAGAGAATGAGTAGAGTGAAGTAGATGAGGTAGACTGAATA